GTTTGTCATCATCAAAAAGGGGGAATTTGTTGGCCCAAGTAAAGGTTAGTTTTGAAGACTGACAAAGGAACTCAGGCATGAGCCAGGTCCATCCCTCCAGGTCCATCCCTTGTGTGCATAGAAACGGGCAGATTCGAGCATGTGGGATGCACGTGAAGGAGATAAGCTTAAGTTGGTGTATTTGATATCTCCTGATCGAAAAGGTTGCATAATTGATAAGGAGAAGGACTCCTTAATCAAAGAGAACACTATCCAAGATAGGGAATGAGCTAGAAGTTGAAATCAACTAGAACTCTTCCACCAAGGAAGAGTAGCATCAGAATTCTAGTCAATCTCTATTTACTAACTCTATAAATATAATTGTTGTTCTCTTTTATAGATAACGCACATAAGCAGAAGTTAAACGTGAATTGAGAGCAAAATAGCAAAGCAATTTTGCAAGCAGTTCGTTGTGATTCAAGTGTGCAAACCTGAAGCAACGTGAAGAAAAGCACAGAGTTTGTCATCATCAAAAAGGGGGAATTTGTTGGCCCAAGTAAAGGTTAGTTTTGAAGGCTGACAAAGGAACTCAGGCATGAACCAGGTCCATCCCTTGTGTGCATAGAAACGGGCAGATTCGAGCATGTGGGATGCACGTGAAGGAGATAAGCTTAAATTGGTGTATTTGATATCTCCTGATAGAAAAGGTTGCATAATTGATAAGGAGAAGGACTCCTTAATCAAAGAGAACACTATCCAAGATAGGGAAGGAGTTAGAAGTTGAAATCAACTATAACTCTTCCACCAAGGAAGAGTAGCATCAGAATTCTAGTCAATCTCTATTTACTAACTCTATAAATATCAGTGTTGTTCTCTTTTATAAGTAATGCACATAAGCAGAAGTTAAACGTGAATTGAGAGCAAAATAGCAAGGCAATTTTGCAAGCAGTTCGTGTGTGATTCAAGTGTGGAAACTTGAAGCTATGTGAACCAGATAGAAGAACCAGTTCCAAGTGTCTGTCTTTTATTCTAGTTCAGTTGTAGTAGGTGGTTTTATATTGTACCTTTCAGCTTTATCTAGAGGCAATTGTAATAGGTATTCAGAGTATTCAAGTTAGAGTTAACTTGAAGTTTTCGCAACAATTAGAGGCTGTGTGCTACAAGGGGATTAGAGGTAATCCTTAGGTTTACAAAAGAGTTTTTGTAAATGCAGTTTTTGGCTCAGTGATTTTAGTGGAGAGTTTGGGAAAATCCTACTGGAAAGTAGGTCATGGTTTTTTCACCTTTTGAGCCAGGTGTTTTCCACATAAAATACTTGTGTTCTTTACTTTCCGCATTTAATATTTCTACAATAGTAGGTTAAGGAACACTTAGAAGAACCAGGTCCTTCCATAATCAGTTTAAGCGAAAAATTGGTCACCACATAAATCACCCCCTCTTGTCTGGTATTAAAGTATAAAACATCACTAATGGCTAGAGGTCGGTAAGTGAAGACTTATTTGGGACATTTGACTAAGTTTCCCAATTTTTAAAGAAAACCTATAAATCTATTACTGCAAAACAAAATGAGGCCCTCAATTTTGGGGGCCAAGTGCCTTGCTTGCTTCACCAAAAGCCAGCAATGTGCGACCTCTAAAGTGTTTTAATTGTCCCTTTTTGTGGATTTTGTTTTCTAAATCCAAAGTTTCCCTGTTAATCTGTTATTGCTTCCGTCATAATGATGCTTGAAATATAATGGGAAGAGAAACCCGAAAAATTATATGAAAATTGAAATCTTTAGCTCGAAAGAAAAGAAACCATCACATGAATATATTACATTGCTTTATGCTAATGATCATGCCAGAATTACAATCACAGGAATGTGGCCTTTTCATGCAATATTAGATGACAAATAATCTAGTGTCCCATAAAAGCACAACAGCATACCGCACAATGCAATTTTGTACTTGGTTTGGCACAGAAACATATATTAAATTGCCCTAATGTAAAGGAGGCAAACTAAAGAAATGCCTTGTAAAGGAAAAGAAAAAGAAAACAGCCTAAACTATAAGTATAAAGATTAGCAGATCATGATGTAATGAAGCATCTAGTGTCCCCAAAAGAGGACATTCTCTAGGTAAAATGTTATTTTTAGATCAAGAATGTGACGCTCATCATCAAGAAATGTCCCTACGACAAGAAAAATAGATCACTTAAATCTTCCATGACTTGCTTTTCTTGTTCTATTTTTTGCTTTTGTGGCTCATCTTTCTGGAAGGCTTATAGTTGAAGCAAATATAAATGGTGGTGTCCATACTAATCACCTAATAACACTCTGGCATGTTGCAAAAGGTCTAAGCTGTCCTCTAAAGCTTCTTAGCTATTTAATGCAGGAGTGAATATCTCTGCTGTCATCATTACCATGGTATTGATGTTTTTTGGACCATAACTTTTCACTTTGTACATACTATAATTTTTGTACTTGTGTCTGGAAAACACACAAAAGAGAATCTGAATCACTGTTTTAATGCAGGAGTTGGATAGTTAGAGCATGGTAAGTGAGATGGGGAACACAAATTCATCAGGTAAAACAGAATAGCTTTGAAGTTCAAGATTGTTATTATTATTCCTTTTGAATTTCAAGAATCTGTTTGTTTGATGTGTTTCATGATTGATGTCACAGAAGCAGAGAATGCTGCAGTTGATGCTCAACAAAAAGGCGAAGCTGCTGGCAATGCAAATGGTGTTAAAGAAGAAGACAACATAATTTCTGAAGGTGAAAGTAAAGATTATCATGAGAAAGCTGCAGCTTTGCCTATTTATGACCTTGAGAACTCCGAAGATGGCAAAACAGGTTATTTTCACTAAAGTTTCTTTGTTTTATGGTAGTTGTCGAACGTCGTTCAAATCTCTAATGCAGATGAATATAAGAGAGAGACACAGCTTAAGCATCCTTTCCCATGTACAGGATTTCAAACAGATGCAAATGATTTAGTGAGTGAAGTTACTAATATTGAAACACATAATTTTGATCAACCTCTGGAGTCAGTTTTGGAGGGGAAGGATGATCCTCGTGACCAACCATGTAACCAGAAAGGTCAGTAACTTCCCCTGTCATCTTAGAACCTAATTATATTATACCCTTAGCTATATTTAATCTGCTTTTGCATTCAATCAAACAAACTTAATTAGTTTTGATTGTAACTTATGTTTGATAGTGGAAAACATAACTATATTCTTATGCATGTTCCTACTCCTTTTGTTGTACTCTTTGTGATTATATAACAAGGACATATATAATTGCATATATATAGAGAGCTAAGTAATCCAGAAAAATAAAACCCTTTGGAATTTCTTTCTAAATGGTAAAACTTACAACAGGTGAGGCAGAAGGAAGTTTACCTCATGATGAAGTTTTAAAGACCGATCCAGGTGAATCCTCAAGTGTTGCCAATGAGACAGTAGAAGAATGCATCATATCTTCATCATTTGAGGAACAAGAAACTACAAGGAATGGAAGATCAGGCCAGAATGAAGATAAAACTCAGTTGATCAACTCTGAAATTGCACTTGCAGATAAGGGAGTTGTTTCTGATCAAAGAGACGATTCGTTGGTGAGTGAAATGGCTGCCTCAGCAGATGGATCAAATGAGGAAAAACATGAGCTTATGAGTGCTGAAAATCAGGTTGAAAATGGTTTCTCAAATGGAAGTGATTGGGATGAAATTCCTAAAGTGGAGTCCAATCAAATCGATGCTACAGTTTCACTGTTGACAGATATTCCACTGAGTACTCCTTCGAGTTCGCTGTCAGCAGCTATTGAGCCAGAAGACAAATGTGCGGTTCACACTCCAGAGAGTGAATTGATATCAAACGAATCGGATAATGCTGTAAAGGAATGTGATCTGAAGAAAACTGAGTCATGTATGCAGGCAGTGCATGAAATGCAGATTGACAACGTAGCTTCTTCAATTGAATCACACCCCAAAGAGGCTACAGAGGAAAATCTACCAGGAAACGACGCTAGTACTGATATTGTAATGGATTATTCAATTAAGGGGGATGACATAAACGTTCAACCTGATATTCTTCATTATGATCACACGCCACCAGTAGAAATGGGACTGCACCCTACCAAATTCTTTGGAACAGAAAATGGTCTTCTTGATAAAGCAAAGGGAGGAGTTGAGAAGTCTAGTAGAAAGGAAATAATGGAGAAGTGCATATTGCAGTTGGGGTCATCAAAACTGGAAAATGATGTCGATATAGCATATGCAGAAGGAAGAATGCGGGGGTTTGAGTCGGTTGAGGATAAAAAAGAATGCAACGCAGCCTTGACAGGACAGAATAGCTGTGAATTTGTTATCACTGAGGACTCTGGTGTTTTTGAACTCAAGACATCAGAAAAAGGGATAAAGAAAATTGCAGCTTTTCCTGAGTCAGGAATTGCACAGAATGTTCAGCCAAGTCTTGAAGCATTAGCATTTTCCAATGAAAAATGTGCCTATGATCAAATGGTGCCAAATTTTCATGATGAAACTCTTTCCAAAGCACCAGAGGGTATTGGAAGTTTAAGCCTCGAATCGATCCCAGATAAATTAAACAATGGAATTGAGCTTCGAAAGTCACCAAGCTTTGATTTTGTTGTCCCTTCTCATAGAAGATCTTTAGAATCAGATCAAACTCCACTTCTGTGTCCCGAAATGATTCCTACAAGAAGCTCATCAGTTGGCTCCAATGTAAAGTTCTCAAATTCACTAGACTACGGGTCAGTAGCAGTCGAAGAGAAGACTATTAGAATGGAAAGAAGTGATTCTGAAGCTCCTCTTTTAGGCTTGTTGAAGAATGGTGATCCGAAGTTTACGTCTGAAACACAGCAGAACCATGTTGCTGTTATGAAAGGAGAGGAATTGCAGACTTCACAAGCAACGGAAACTTGTCTAACTTCACCAAAGGGGAGCGGAAAACGCAAGGCCAGACCATCTTTCTTCAGCACTTGCATCTGCTGCACAGCAGCCACTCATTATTGAACAGACTCAAAAAGATATTTGTTTTTTGTTTTGATTCTTTTTCTCAATTGATTGGGTTTTTAACCATATTAAAGATATTTTCATGTGGCATCTTTCATCACAATGGAGTGTTGAGAGCATGCATAGTCTGTAAGATACTGAAAAAAGGGTGTGAGATGTCTGAGTGATGACTATAAGTTATACTTCCCGTTTTGTTTTTCCTCATTTGGTTATTTGTTAATATTTGTCCCTTAATATGTATTCTATTACACTGATTTGGTAAGATGTTAAGAGACTTTCCAACAGAGGTAGTTCAGCTGCCTTTGATTGTAATACTAGTGCTTCTCTTATCAATGGTGTCTGATTTGTCTTTCCTGTTACATGGCAAGGAATTTATGAGCCTTAATGCACAACGCAGACCAAATGTCATCATGACTATGGTAAAACATCTACAAGTTTGCTGCTAGATATACTAGATTGACAAATGAGATTGGTCCTAAGCTCAAGGTCACAAATGGTGGACTGTTGAGAATAATCACATAAGAAATGAAAATTCAAATGGGATGCTGAGAAGGGAATCAGTTAAGGCCATAAATATTTGTCATCAAAATTCTAATTGAGTTTATTTAGAGGTGGATCCGACATATAAGTAGCTGGTGCACGTGCACTCATCCTTGAATCGATGTAACAAAGGGAATATATTGTGGCTTTAAACCACGAATAATAATTCTTCTTATTCGTGCTTCAGAGATAGTCTCGCCCGGACTCAATAGAGAAATTTCGGAACACGTAACCGTCAAAAAATACTCGGCGATAGAGAGATTACCTTGAGTGGTGTTAGCTAAATCATTCTCCAAAATCTGTAACCGAGCTTCATCCTTCTTGTTGAACAGTCAATCAAAGGTCCTCCATATTTCATGAGCTGATTTACACCTTATAATATGATCTAATAAATTAGGAGAGATAGACCTCTTTAGGATAAACTCCGCCTTAGCATTAATCTGATTCCTCTTCTTATGCGCATTGCTGTTTTCCGGTGCGTCAGCAGGAAGGCTTGTGTTACTTCCATTGACAACTTCCCACAAATCCTCACCAACAAGGTATGACTCCATACAAGTCTTCCATACCTTGTAGTTGGACTGGTTTAATAACTCCATCCCCAGTCCATTAGCACGACCACCCAAATCCATTTAGAGAAACCAGTTGAAACTTGCACTGACCCGACCTTGAAATCCAAAAGCCGATCTATGGCTCTGATACCATGTAATGAATAGCAGAAGAAGAGTATTATTCGAAGACCTTCTGCTAGCCCAAGATCGTTAACTAAGATTAGGAGATTCAACTAAAGAAGAGGAAGCTTGAAAAGAGAAGAGAGATTTTTGAAAGGAGAACTTTGTTATTGAAGAAGACTTTCCTGAATTTGGCTTTATTCAGATTATTGATTGATCCAGAAAGCGAATCGATTTGATCCAAAAAGATAAATAAATAGGAACAAAAATAAGATTAACGATTGAAATTAAAGGAGATGACAAGCCTGACTCAGAACTTAGCCTTTTCGAGGACAAAAGTAAAAGCAATTGATAAACTGTTTAAATTGAGCATAACAAGATAGTAGATTATAACTTTTGTATGCAGAATATTTCAGTCCTACAATGGTTGTTAACCCTACTATTTATAGCTCTATTTAGAGGGACAAGATCCTAAAATCGAGCTCCTCATGAATGAGAAATAAATCTCCATTGATGGGTGCATAACGGCTGGCTTTAAATGCAAATATTCTCTGTAACAGCTGCCCATTAAATGTTACCTGATGACAATGCGGCAAATCTTTTCTATATGTTGTTCTTCTTTCGGGGTTTGCTCAGTGCTGATCGCTAGCTGTTTGCAACCGGTGATAATTGGTTGTTGACCCATATCCTACTTGTCTCCAATGCCACGTGTGACACTACTATTCGTCCAGTTGTTATAAATCAGTTTTACCATATACAGATAGTCCCCCTACTTTTTGGTGACGCAACTTAGTGTTACCGGGAGTAGATAAGAATTTCTTTCTTGGCGGGAAAAGTCCTAAATAGTCTCTAACATTCAAAAGGACGCTTTCTCGCTTTTAATAACCCGAACACGTGTTGTTCCGTTTCAGCAAGTGTTTTCGTCGGTTTTCGAGGTAATCATGACCATGATTTTACCTTCTATAACTTCTACACTACTCATCATTTTTACTCTTTACCTTCACTATTTTCACAACTCTTTCTCCTTCTATGAATTTTCTTAGAACCTTTCTGTCTCAACTTTCTCTGTAAGAAAGTCTTCATTAATCTTTTACCACCATGTCTTCTTACACTGCTATCTCCGAAAACACTGACCTTCTCTTCGGTGGAGGCCCAAAGAAAAATAAAACCAAAGAAGTCGGCATCGATTCTGAACCTCCAACTGTAAATACTATCATGCCACTTCACCTTAGCACCGCGTATGATCTCCAGGAGCAAAAAGCACATGTAGATCCCATAAGTGGGAGGTTTTGGCATGCTCGTAGGTACCCCTCCTCCATTCGTCCTTCTAGCATTCCTATTGTGAGGGAGGACTGTAAATGCAACAATATTGAAATCTTCGGCCCAGATGGGGTAGAACGAGTTACCTACTCTATAGCAGGTTTCATGTATGTGTATACATACCCCTTCACTTTGGGTCCCCTCATCTTGAGGTCGGGTGAAGAACTTGACCCAATAATCTTGGAGTTCTGCCACCGGTACCAGGTCTTCTTGGCACAAGTAGGCCCATATATATGGTGTATGGTGCCTTGCCTTTGTCAGTTGTGCTCTGAGACTGGGGAAACCCTGACTCTTGCGCACATGATGAATCTTTACTCCCCCAAGATTTTCCGCGGTGGTGTGCTGAAACTCAGCAAACGTGGTCACCACGCCCTTCTAACCAGTGTTGATGATGACAACGACCATGGGTGGATGGAATGGTTCGTCGTCATTGCTACCGGGAACATCGTCCCGGCCACAACGCCAGTTGTTCCCGAATCATGCAACCTTTTCAATAAGTCTTCGTATATTTGTTTTCTTTTTTTCATGCAAAAACTTTCTCGTTCACAAACATTTTTTTCCAGCTACCCATTGGGAACCACCACGTGTTCAAGGACTGGCCCAATGGGTTCAAAAAAATATTGGATATCCCCACTCCGAAAACCCGATGAAGGAAAGAAATGGCTCCCAAATATGGGTGGAGAGCCAAGAACCATGGTAAGAAAAATTCTTTTTTCTTTCGATCTCATCTGTGTAAATATCTTAAGAATAATTTATTAACGATCTTTTTTGCTTGCATAGGGCTTCCGAGGGTTCTGTTGTGTGCCCCAACATCGATGCTCTTGATGATCCAAGGAAGCCTGTTGATACCTAATTTGCCCTCATATTCTTTTAAAATAGTATATATACTTTCACAATATCATTTTGCATCATTAATCAATTTACAATAGTTATACAAGTGTTTTCAATAATTTTTCATAATTTTTAAAACCTTAAAATTAATTTTCTTGCATTTAAAATTACTTTAATATGTATTAATTACCCCCTTAAATTATTTTATGATGATTTAATAATCCAACTTTATTATTCGTATCCACATATATGTTTTATAATATTTTACTTTATTTTATATAATTACTTTTGCACTTTTTAAGCTAAATACGTAATTTTGCAATAATAGCCTATACTTTTCAATTAATACATTTGTCATTACTTAAGGTCAAAATATTTTTTTATATTTTTATAATCGTCAACTATTGTTTTAAGTATTAAGTTTCATAAATAGCATTTTTTAATATTTTTATTTAATTATCTTATTAAATTATTTCCCCTTAATTTCTTACTTTAAATCTGGCCCAATTAGGCCTTATTTTCAGACCAATTAAGGTCCAAACAAGTGAGCCCAACCCCAAGCTGCCCTGGGCCAAACAAAATGACCCCTTTTGTTTTAACCAGGTCGGGACCCGTTTACTCGACCCACCCTACTTCCCTTTAATCACGGTCGTTGATGATCAACAGCCTATAATAATCCCACCTTTTCCTTACATTCCCTCACCCTAATCCCTAATCACATTCTTACACCCCAGCTGCCGCTAAATCCTCTTCTTCTCTAAGAAACCTTAGCCGCTATCCCAAATCTTCTCTGAATCCAAATTTTCCATGGATTCTTACCATGATCCAATTACCTTTTTCGGATTATACCGCTATTACTTGTGTAAATGTGGTGTTACTTAGTACTTGCCCATTTTTGGCAAGTACCGGTCTCTGAATCAAAGGATATCAGCTTTATTCTCCAATATTTGGAAGATATTCTGTCTGTATACGTTCATAGCAAGGCTATGAGGTTCAAATTCACCAAGATCTCCGGCCAATTTTTTACCTTAGTCAAACTAGGGTTTACTTGGTTTCTTCTCCTAATCTGATTCTAAATTGATTTCTTCATGTTCTTATTTCCTTGTTTATGTTCAATTGAGTGTATTTCCTTATTTATGTGTTGATTTTTATTACTATATAAACCCCTCCCCAATTTCCTTTTTGGATAGATTCTAATTGCTAAAAGACGACTACTATTATTCTCTCACTTTCACCTTCTATATTATTTCTGATCTCTTGATTGTGGCAGACTGAAACCCAAGGCCACCAGAGTGTTGTCTATTAACCTCTCTGGTGCGAGCACTGCCGGGGGCTCACTGAAGCTCCTGTCAACTCTGACACATTAGGATCTAGGGTCCTCACTGTTATCTTTCTTTTGTTCTCATTGTTGAGATTCTAAGTTACTCACTCTTTTGCTCGTTTATCTTCGCAGCTGGTTAGCATTCAACTTTAATTATCACTCCTCTACTTATTCATGTATGTGTATTCTGCGTGCCAACACTGTTTGAACTTTTAGACAAGCATGACCTAAGTTTCTTTGTGGTTTGTGAACTCCTAGTGTTGTACTGTTGTATGCTTTCTGTAGTTCTATTGTCTCAATGATGTTCTACAGTTCCATGTTCTCTAGTTTCAAACTTTATAGGCTTCAACATGTGTAGTATACTTTCACTCTATGTATTTGGCTGTAATGGTTTCTGGCCTTCTTAGGTTTTGTCTAATTGGTCTTGCTCATGTTAGCCTTAATTTCATGTCTTTTGCTTGTTATGAGTTCATATCCACGCCTTGGATTTCTGGGACTTTTTGTAGAAACTGTTTGCTCAGTCT